ACTGTTAATTGCCAGGTATGTTAACACTTACAAACATTTTGACTTAGCGATTGGTGCATAACAATAAACACATTATGAAGACATCCTTTAATATAAAATCTGAAAATTTGCAAAACAAATATATAATAATACGTTAAGATACGTAACAGTCATAAGTCAGTGGGGGTCCAGAGCCTTGTTTATGAACCCAACAGAATAATCCGGCTTGAAAGAGATTTTTCAGACGTTTAAATCCAGCGAGTCCAATGCCATGTAGCCAAGTGTTGTTTAGATATCATGCTGGGAGAGCAGAAGAGAAATGCTTTAGAGAGCAAACCAACAAAAACCCCCTCTGGCTTGACAAAGAATTTAAGGGGCATCACTTCAATAATCCACAATGCTCTCCCTGTTCATTGCCATTCCTCAAAACAAAAACATTTGCTTGTCTTAAATGTCCAATGATTCAGCAATGATTTAAGGAGAGAGAGCGAGCACGATAAAGATGCCGTGTCACTGAACTAAAAGGTCTTGTGTGAGCTGTTCGGGAAAGAGAGGTTCTTTATTTGATTTTGTCTGGCAAGTTTTACAACTGCCATTCTGGCCAGAGTCCTAAACCATATAAAACAAAGTTGTATTACAGAAGTAGTTTAAAAGAATCACAAGCATCATTTCAGAACCAATTTAAGCATTTTCAAAAATTCACTATTTTCATTTTACGTTGCATGAATTGTGAACAGATACTGGCATCTAAATGACGTTCTCAGTTTATCCCAAGTAATAGGCCTAATGAAAAGATACGCTGCATCTACTGTAACTATAATACATCTAACTGTTAGTATTGGTGCTTATGACTTAAACATCCTCACTCATCAAACACCACTTTTATTCACAGGTGGTGATACAACAACTAAGGTTATAACACCATGAACAGTAGGGACTTGATAATCCGCGACCATTTATAGGAGTTGGCTGGATTTCACAATTATCATAGCTTTAAGATGATTTTGAGAAATTAGGCTTTTTTTCATCTCATTGGTGTCTGGATGAAACGTAGTCATTTATTTTTTCAAATACATGTTTTATTGTAATTGATGGGAAGAGTTTTATTAACTTTTGGCCTTCAAAAATACAAGCAAAGACATCAAAAGTCAGCCTTAAATTTGTAATTCCTAATTATTGACTGCTGTCGATTATCTTTCCTACCAAATCACTTGGGTGTAAGTCTATGTCTATTCCGTCAATTAGGGCTAAATATTTAGTCGGTCTAATTAAGCAGGGAAGACCCTCAGCTAGTCATTAATGTGCCAGATGATATTTGTGTGTGCTGCAGTCCAATACATAAGTAAATAACACAAAGTGTACCACACCACACTTGGGTATATGATGAAATATCCCTCCCCAGATACCACCATGGCTTTGACGAAGCAAACGTGCCAGATTTGTTTGTAACTTTATCAGATACAGGGATGATGAAGCCATCCAACACAATGCTTACCGCTCGACATACCAAGGATAACACAGCTGTACTGGCATTGCCCTTCAAAACAAATGGCAAATGATAATCACATTCCATGCCATCAGCTGTGGGTAATGTGAGACTGGCCAGAATCCCATTATCATCTGAGTTATTATCGACTACTGCTGTGAAAGCACTACAAACACTACAAACACAGTCATAGTGACTTCCTAAGAGTTGTAGCCACATGTAGAGGAGGTAAGAAAGAAAGAGACGTGGAAGGATCATTTTACCTGGCTTTTACTGAAAACCTTTTGAGTCCTCTAGTCTAAATGAATCATTCCCAAAGACTGGCTCGCAGGAGATTTTATTTAGGTCACCAAATAAATTTGCAGTATTTCCAATATAGTCTTTTATTTAAGATGTATCTGCAATACACTTTTGAGACACATGAGGGAGCTTGAATGTTTGTATTTTTCTGATAATTATAGCCTACTTTTAACATTGACAGACTACCGTACATTCTGTTTGTTTTTACTGATGAGAGGAAATTCAATTAATGAGATAGCCTGTTAACTCTGCCTGAATGCATTTGTTTAGTCTCATTTATAAAGTATTTAGCATGTGTATATGTTTTAAATAGCATGCAGACAACAAAGTTAACAATCGTACATCTCTTTAAAATAACTAGTTTACCTATTCAAGATTTTATAAGGTGATGCGAAAATGGCAGTAAATATGGTGAGGAATGTTCAATTACGCACACATTTGCTCTTCTCACAATTTATAGATTAGGCCTATTGTGAATTGGGTCGCGTTGGTTTGTTATTTTTCAAAAGTGGGTCCCTAGAAAACAAAGTGGTTAGGAAACACTGCTCGAAATCATCAGATATCTCAGGTCACAACCTGACTCTAAGACAAAGGAATACAATATTTGCAAAAGAAAGAATGATTTTATTAGAGTAGACTAAAAGCAGCATGTAGACAAAATGAAACACCTGTCTACCACTTGGGATGCAATCATATGGAGACACCGAGCTTGCCATTTTATTTGATGGGGAGAAGAAACACAAGCAATGTTAACAAACACCACCGGATTTTCAAACAGACCCTGTCAGACAGACTGCACTGAAGAAAGGGTCTTTTACTTTATGCTACATCTGGTACATGTTTCTTTCATATTTACACACAGTGCTACAAAGTCTCAGGGTTAAGTCCTTTTTTTTGACAGAATATCGGTAGATTATTCAAATATTGTGACGTGCTGGCATTGATTGTGACAGCAATTGACCGATCCCCTTAAGTTTCTGTCGTTAGGTCGGACAACCTTGACGAATAGAAAAAACGCGAGGACGGTTCCGTTTAGCCGGGTGCGTCAGGCATCATAGTCTCAAGACACAGACAGCAAGGACTACACTATGCAATCAAAGTATATATTCACAATGACAAACTCAGGTAACTTTTTTCTGTTGAGATGCTAATGTCTGAACAATACAAACACATATACACAAAGAAACATTCTAAAATTCAATAATCGCTTGGTGACATTTAACTTTTCTTCTCTAAATGAATCAAAAATGTTTTTTTTTATTTCTTCATTCTCTGTTTTGTTTGCGTACAATGTGACATTTAGTCACTGCTCATTCATTCCAACTTAATCAAGTGGTGATAGTATAGACCTATATGTATTTTTAGTGTCAAGCTAATACTATCAATGCGTCAACGTGAAAGCCATTTTCAGACCGAGTTGCATGGATGGTTTTGAGTGCTGAAAGAAACCGTTTTATTCCAGGCTAGATGTGTACTTTTGTATGTGTGCACTGTTCCGGCCTTATCCTCCAACAATCAATTTCTTGGAGTGCTGGATCCACTTGAGTGATGGGAGCGCAAAAGTAGTGACACTCAGCCATCACTGAATGAGAGCATCAAATGATTGCCTCAGAGAAATTGCTGTATCTTCAAATGTCTTTGAGAATATCTCCCATCCCTGTCTGCTTTTCCTCTACTTGCTGCTTGCCAACACTTGAAGAGTTTCCTTTTGACTTATGTTATCAGTTTGGGGTTCAGTGCGGTGCACAGTCTTGTGAAATGGCTGTTTGGTCCTGCAGGATGCCCACACTGGAAATTCCATTACATTTCTTGAAGATCCGAACCTGAGATGTACAGTTACCTGACAACTCTGAAGACTTAAGAACACTAACTCAACTCTAGTATTTCCTTTAGTTGGAAGGGAAAATGGACGTGTTGTTATTTGACAGAACTTTCCAACTAAATACAACACCTGTCCCAAGTAGCTAAATTAGATCATTACTTAAACTACCATAAACGGTATCTCTCCTGAGAATCCGAACTAGGTTGTTCTCCAACTGTTAAATGACAGAATCCAGGAAGCGAAATGTCTGGCAGACAATGAACTCATTCTCTCTTGAGGAGTTTTCAGGGTTTAGCGTTTTCCCCTGTCCCTCATTTCTGACATTCAGTGAACCAGCATGGGTGTCCTCCATCAAAGGACAACACACAAAGGATTCATTCCCTGGAAATAATGGTTTCTAAACTCCCTTCTGTCATATGAGCGATGGTAATTAGCAGTAACACAGACTAGCTGTGGCAGCAACTGTCCTTGAGATCACTTTAGAGCAGGGGTATTCAATTAAAATTCCAAAAGGTCCAGATTGAGAAAATCTCCTCGGGCAAAGGTCCGGAACATTACAATAATATCTAACTTGCGCTATTTAGTGCCATATATATCTATATTCAAGAAGTCTAGTAGTAGTAACGTCTCTGTGTAGTCAACAACTGTCAAATCAAATAAAGAAAGTACACATCAATTATATTTTAACAAATATTATTCTCAGTTTTCAAATTTAACTGGATGGATTATAAATAATACATAGAAATACATAAATACATGTTCTCTACTTTCAAGTAAAATAAGAGCTATATTAAAGAATAACTGACATAACAGAAAGCTTTTCAAAAATGTGCATCTTAAAATAAATTCATTTTAGAAAAATTAATTTCACTGAATTGTCCTGCAGCTTTAAATTCAGTTCTTTCAGGTGTGAAGTGATGTCAATTAAAAAAGCCACAATATTATATATTCTAACAAGATAAATTAGTGTATGGACTTTTTGTGTGGTTATTAAACGACTTGTTTCAGCTCTATTCTCTCTGTTAACGTCATTGTTGGGCAGTGAATTCATGCGTTAGGATTCTGATCATATTGGGCTCGTAGGTTTATTTTCTGTGTCTTCATTCAGATGTGAGTGGGTACGTTTGCTCAAAAGAGTTGTGCTTTGTCTCGTAGTGTCGCTTCATTTACCGCTTTTAATAATCGTCACGGTCTCTAAACATGTGAGACACACTGGTTATAAACTGTCCGTGTGAAGAATTAACCTGTACGAGTCTGTTCATTCTTGGTTAAAGACTCTGGTCACTTTTCTCTCTTTGGAGAATGTCATGTGAACTTCTCTGACTCACGTATTATTCTCCTGCTCTTCCCTCGTCTCTCCCCCGGTGTGTGTACATCTCACTCGATTCAGGAAACGTGTCAGAATACCCATATTTGATTGGCTGAGCCGCATCACGTGATGTGATTTACAACGCATTGGTCGGTGCGTTTCCTGCACCGCTCAACAAGTGCCGTAACAGCTGAAAAAGTTGCGACGGTTAAAATAGAAGCGCCCTGTCAAAATAAAATAGATTTTAGGTCCTGGGTCCGGATACAACGGCGTCTGGGTCCGGATCCGGACCGCGGTCCGCCAATTGGCGACCCCTGCTTTAGAGGATGGCAAAACCAAAGGACTCAAATTGGAACCTTATTAGTATTTCATTAATGCGCCTTTTACCTTGTTCTCCAGTGTTGCTCCAGTAATTAACGCTATGTTGCGTTCTCTCTCTCTCTCTCACACCACAGGAAGCTTTCAATGGAAGGCGATTCCTCAGTCGAGGTAGTGCTATATAGCTGGACATAAGCGCAGGCTATTCTTAGTATCTGATCACACAATAATTTTGCTTTCACTCTCAACAACATAACATGTACTTTATTTTTTTAATTTTTTGGCAAAGCCGTTATACATGTGAAAATGGAGTAAATAAAAGCGATGATGAGCGGTAGCACCAATGGACTGTTTTTTCACTAAATTATTGATATTATTTGTTTATGTGGATGTTTATTCAATTAGCCCCACTACCATTCTTCCTTATTAAGATGCAGGCCCTGCACACAATTAACGATTGCTGCCACATCATACCATACAAAATAACTCTGCTGATTAATTGTTGTCATTGCTATATTATTGTCTATGATTGGTTTGATTGAATTTGCTTCTTGAGTCACATGCAAGGTGCTTATCACCCGTGAACCCACAAAATAATTACTCGGGCTTATCTTTATGACCTTTGAAGGTAATGTTCTGTGCCGTGCCGCCTGGCTCGGAGTTCCAGGAAACGTAGCTAAGGAAATTCAATACTGCCAATAATGAATAGCAATCAAGTCTCTTCGCGATGGAATTAATCTCAGCACAGTGGCTTGTGCAAGGTCTAACCTCTTCACGGGAGGCACAGTGCAGAACCTCACCGATCCACCAGCTCACATACACACCTTCACACCGCCTTCCCCCAATGTCTCCATTCCCACATTTCACACTCCATTGAAAAACTGCCCTCTGAATGATATATGGGTGAGAACAGGTATGCGGATGTCATTTTTCACCCTATCCACTCACTTCCCTCTCTCCACGTCGGTAGATGGTTGGCCTGGCTGGGCCCGGGGATCTTGTGAAATGCGATTCCCAGCATCTATATATTTTTTTATGGTTGAGGGTAAACCCACAAGATGGATATGCTCCCTGCTGGCCAGAGCTTTTTGAAGAAAGCTCGACTGATACCCTGCTGTCACATGTAGGAGGCCTTTATATGATTAGATTATTTATTTAAGGGCTTTAACCTAAAGCATAGTATTCAGTTGTAGTCTTTATCTTAAAAATGTGTTTTAGAGTCTATCCCTTGAGATATTCTTTGTACGTATTTTATCTTCGAAGGGGTGTGGTCCATCAACAACATCCAATTTGGAGTCCCATGAGAACAGGTAATTAACGTTTAACCAGAACTTCATCCGTGAACTGTGCTGAAAGTGGCACCACTGATAAAACCGTGAAGCTCATTTTACTTCTTTTAAACAGTTTGATGAGGTGTTAACTCACAAAATGATAATGGGAACCTGCTGGCATCTGTTGTCTTTCTGCGCTTATTTTGTGATGCCACAACACTGTATTTTCCCTGTGGTGTAATAGCATGAATTAACAAGAATCGAGTTTTTGTCGCCTAAAAGTGACACCAATGTAGCTTTGTTGGCATTTTCATATTTTCATCTAGGCCTTGATATTATTCTCTCTCCTTTTGCTCTCGTTTGCCGCCCGTGATGTAGGTAAGTGTTTTTGTTTTCTCATTATTTTTGCTGCTCTGTGATATTCATCCACTCCAGTTCATTCAAATAGCTTTCGGCAAAAAGGAAGCAGTCCTGCACGCAACAAAAAAACTCACAGAAAAACACCTTTGAGACACCTCTATTTGCCGAGATATCTCTCTGTGCAAAAATGTTCTCATTTCCAGAGAAACGATAATTCAGTCAAAGCATACAAAACAAAAAATAGACGATTCCTATTCGATATATGATCTTCAAACAAATAAAAAAGAGAAATAAAATGTTTTGAGCACCATTACTACTCATTTTGTATTGATAGAAATGAACACATTCCTCTATGTTCCATGTGTTTCTTGTAGTGTGGATTGTGTCGCAGTGATTAAAGACCCCTACAAGTTTTTAACCTTGTTAACATGTCCATATGGTGGGTTTTTTTTTCGTTATATGCTGCAAGACATATATGAGCGAAATAAGCAGTCAACGTAATCTCTACCTTAGAACTGCAGTGTACAATGTCTCAGAAACACAGAGTCAGACAGCCAGGGTTTCATAGTCACATACCTGAGAAACCATTACTTTTCATGTGGGAAACCATGTGAAACACAATATTAATCATAGCAGAGTATTTTTGTATACTTTTAAAATGTGTCTGGAGGACGACGCTGAGCCATTTCACCTCCACAACAGCAGTGTGTGATCAACGGTGTTTCAGTTAAACCTTAATGAAAGACCTTCATCCTCCTTGCCTCTTCTCTGGCTCACTGCGGTTCGGCAGGATGAAAAGAACAACTTGGTCCTCTGTTGCCATGGCAACTGTTTTTTTGTGTTTCAGTGGTAATGATAGTGATTTCACTATCTTGAACCTTCATTAATGATACAGAGGTGATATTCTCATCGGTTTGCGCGGAGAATCCAACAGGGACGTGCACTCCCTCGGTTTTACTGTTATGTGAATCTGTTTGATGGTGTGGAAAGAAACTGGATTCCTAAAGGACGAGGCTGGTGAGGAGCTCAGAGTTTGAGGAAAGGAATGACTCACTTGTAACTTAGACGAGGGCTGTAGTTTCAGTGGGATTCAGACTGTAGTCTGTGGAGAGGTCATTAGGATTCCACTCGATGCTGATCAGGGAGGCTGCATCGTGTTCCAGTGTGTTCTAGAGAGAAAGGTGGATGTTGGAGTTGGTCTCGTGTTGTTCTGTAAGCCAGGGTTGACACCATGCTTTTCAAGGTTAGATGACATAACTGGTGTTTTTCTTTCTTATCTTGCTGTTTCCTCTCATATAGAGTACCTTACAATCATTCAGGGCAACACAGGAGGGTTTCCTACCATTTTGTATTGGTTGCAATTACACATTCTTTAGAAATAGACTCCACATACTGTACTCCACAAAGGAAAAGCAGCAAAGTTACTTGTGTTGTACAGGCAATGCATTTATTTTCAAATTGTGGAAATAAGCTCAAGACAGACATGAGGCAAGGAGATCTAACAATTTTGGCATCGGTGGTTACACCCACAGTGAGCATAATACTGGCAGAAAGCATCTGTTAGCCGGTAATGGATTCAGACCCCTGCCCCATAGCTGTCTATCTGGGCCACGAGACAGCTTGAAGGACTTTTTTGCTATACCTGAAATTCTGTGGGTTTATCTGAAGCAATGTCTCCCCAAAGCAGGCCTAATCTGGGAGGCTGACCCACACTGCCCCTGGCTCGATCAAACTCGGGGCTGAAGCCTCTTCTCTCCCACAGTCCCAGCTATGCCACCCTTTGATAGTCGAAAACCCAAATCCTTTAAATGTCGGACAGACTTTGAGAGACGCCACAGCTCAGGAAAAGAAGCAGGTACTTGCTGGGAGCTTGCCTTCTCTGGGGAAAAGCAATGTCCCACTTTCAGAAAAGGGGGAGAGTACCTTCACATCACTTCGGGCACCACTTGGAGGCTGTGGCAGCAGGTATGAGGACATCCATGGTCCCAAATGGTTTTGTGAATGCAGAGAAGTGGCCTTCGTCTTACTTCCTCCTGTCTCATGCATCACACTTATGATGTGATGGAGGCTAGGGGTTGGATCCAGATGGAGTTCAGTCCACAATGCAAGGTGCTGACTGACACTTTGTATTGTGTTACTCTTATAGCAATAGTGCACAAGAATGCACACACAGCCACGAACACAATGCTTAATGACAGAGCACTTTTTGGTTGATTGTGATTTGCATATACTTTGAATTTAACTTTGGGAAGGTTTTAGTCTTTCAATAATGTAAATGTGACAGCTCAGAACCTCAAATTGTCTTTTATTGTTCATAAAAGTTAGATTTTATCTGCATGCAGTCGGACACCTGCAGATGAAAGTGTTTTTGTTCACATGAATTAAGACATATTGCCCTTACATATGTTTTAAACTCTCATAGTCCCCTTCAAGTAAACAGAAAGGTAAGCCAGTTTAGCAGAAACGGTTAGCATTTTTATTCAATTTAGGCGTGCACATCTTAAGATGTGGATATCACAAACACCCAGGGGTTCAGTTCTCACCGGAATTATAGATTAGCTTTAGATTGTATCTTTGTTTTCAAATTTGCCTCCATCTTAAGTTACTTGTTGTCATTTAGGCGACACATAAGTCAGTACAAAGCACTTGTGCAGAAGCCTTTGAAGGACAATTTTGGGGGGGGGGGGAACCTCGGGGGGGCTGACGTCTCAGAAAGTAGATAAATGTTTCATTGCCATCGGGCAACCGGGAGGAAGAGATTTTCCTGGGTGTCGAAGTGGAAGAGAAGAAACAGTTGGACGAGTGAAAGAGATGAGGTGAAAGAGGATATGATGCATTGCAAACAGTCAGAGAAAAAAATGTAACAATGCAGAAATAGAAACTATGAAACATGAAACCAATAAAATAGAGAAGGTAGGGAAGGTAGATAATATAGTGAAGGTTACAAGCAAATTGTGCAAAGGGAGATGAGTAAAAATGAGAATGATTAATGTGCACACAAACACTTAAAGGTACACAGACACATAGAAAGGAATAGTTCCCTAATGCTCTGAGCCTTCGGGAGGGATATTTTCTCTGACTGGTATTATCTGATGTCACCACTCTGCAGCTGCAGATGACAGCAAAGGTAGATTGCAGATGTCAACAAGCTCAATAACACTGACAGCAGATTGGTTTTAATTGATTTGATGACGTATAAAAGAGAGATGGACTCCCTTATCTTTTCCGGGCAATTCAATTGACGTATAGTGAAGAAATTAATGATCAACGACAATTCAGATATCGTGGGCATAAAGGGGTATCATTGCAACAATAGGTGCCATTACGAAAGATGCCTCACTGTCTAGAGGGAATATTCAGTTTTTTTTTATTCAATATAGAGTTGTCCAGCTACTCACCTCACTATTTTATGTTTTTTAGTTTCAGATGTAGCTGAGAGTGCCTTAAAATAGAGGAGACTGCCTACTGAAGTTCCCTCTATAGGCAGTCTTTTACCAACATGGGTATATGTAGTTCATGAGGCAGGGATCTTAACCACAACGTCATCTTAGGGCAAATTCTTCTCTTTGAATCTGCATTCCCATGCCTTGGGGAAACCGGAAGCAGGACTGAGCTGAGAGCAGCACTTCTTCGTCTCTGCTCCCCCTCGTCTTTTCCTGCTCCTCTCTCGTCTGAGAGAAAGTCTGAAGTAGGTTAGCACTCGGTGCTTGCACAAGGGAGGAAATTGAAATGCTGAAATAAGGAGTAGCTGGGGAGAAGATGGAGGAGCTATAACCGGGACAAAATTGCCCCGCCACGATGAGAAGGAGAGACATATCTGCTCGGACACAGGGGAGTTCCTCCGCTGGACAATCACTGAGGCGTGGTGCCATCCTTTATCCTTCATTCCAATCTTGGTTTAGTGTCAACGCCAGCCTTATGAATACTTCCCTTTTTTTCTTGTTCTTTGCCAGTTTTATCCACATCCCCTCCAAAATTACATTGCCACGCTGAGGAATACTGGTTCTGTGAGTGTAGGGATTTAATATACTCCAGAATGAAATGGGCATCCTCCCGCCAGCCCGTGCTCTGTTCTTATGAGTGATTACTCCAGGGACTTTGATCGAGCAACAAGAATTCAAGCTGCATCTTCGTTGGTTCAGGCCCAGTAAGCTGCACACAACACACACTCATGCACACACACTCGGCTCTCCCATGGAAGCAAGAAAACACGCTCACACACACACACACACACACACAACCATCATACTGTAGTATGCACAAGCTGAACCATATTCCTAATATTCCAAATAGCTTGTTGTTTTATGAGAAAGAGACATGGGAGAGTGACACAGACAGTCCCAATTCAATAACCCACGACGTGTGGCAGGTCTGACTCCTACCAGTATGGTTTTTAAGTGTTGTGACTGCACAATATTTCAAATAAAGCCAGGCGGTAGGTTTTTCTACTATAAACTATTCGCCCCAGCTGTGTTGAAAACTATCTCCTCTTGTCTTGTCCTTGCTGTGGCGCAAACCACCATATTTGTCAGACCTCTTTTTTACAGTTTGTGTATCCAAACATGAAGAAACCAAACATCACACTTTGAGCAAAAAAAAAACACACTTTCCATTGGTTTTGTTGCTTTTCAGTTAAGAATTAAACTGGAATTATGCTTCTGTAAAAATACAAATAAACATCTCAGAGAACCTTCACAGAAACATGTAGGGTGGTGCGTAGGTGAATAAGACTTGACACACCTCCTAAATCTCTACGAGTCACGCAGACCTGTGTGTCACGCAAGCTGACTGGTTGATCCAACTCCATCTTGACCATTCTTATTTCTAACTGTCTAAGGGCTTTTCCGAAGAGATTATATTAGTACTTGGGCACTGGGAAAATAAACATGCTTTACCCTTTATTGCAGAATAATAGACCCCTCACTTTTGCATCTTTTCACACTAAAATGTTCTATGGGCACGATAAGCTATTCAGAATTAGTTTTGTAAGACTATTGTGGGTAAGTTAGCCCTAGAAA